CCTGTTTGCGGCCAGGGAGAGCGGTGACGGCCCCGAGCCGGCCGACGGCTGAAACCGGGAGGGCAGCTGCTCTCCCCGCTCGGCACTTTCAGTTTCTCTCTCGCAGACGCACTCCTGGCGTGGTTTCCTCTAAGGCGCTTTGCGAGTTAAAAGCCGTATTAGCCGCCAGGCTAATCCTCCACGGGAATAAACAAACCACATATAAACCAGGAGAAGTTATCCCTGCTTGCTTCTCACATTCACAGTCCCGGAGCTGTGGCAGAAAAAGCAACCGGTCAAAGGACTTCCCTGCCTGGGCTTCCCGCAGCCCGGCCCTCGCTCCTCCTCCCGCTCCTCGGCGTCTCGCCCGCTTTTTCCGAAGGCCGATCCAGTTTTAGCTCCGGCGTCGGAGCAACCCGAGACCTCGCAGCCTTTGGCTGCGCCGAGGCAGCTGCTTGCAGCTAATTTGGTCGGCGGGCTCTGGCACCCGGCTCCTGCCACCCATCCCCGCAGCGGCGTCGAGGCTTTCTTCCTTCTCTCGGAGCAGCGAGGGTGTCCATCCTCCCCAGGCGCGTCTTCTCCTCTCCCGCCACCGCCCATCCCCTACCTCGGAGGCTTCGCAGCCGCTCCGTCCTCACCGCCGACGCCGTCGCTGGCATCCTTTCGAGGTGCTCTGGACGGCTGCTCTCTCCCTGCACCGACATCCCTCTGGCACCGTAACCAGCTCATTAACAGGACACAGGAGCCCTTGGCACGTGGTTGGAACTGTTTAAGGGTTCTTTTTATTTTTTTCTCTTCGATGGAAGTTAAGGGTGCCATACAGGTAGAAAAATGACACGGATGACCCGTGTCATCGCTCCGAGGGGGGAAAAGCATCCGAAAACGAGGCAGCTCCGTCCCCAGCGAGCACTCGGGTACTGCTGCGTCCCGGGGCGGGGGGGAACCGGGTACCGCTCCAACCCACCGTGCCCCGCGGAGAAGGTGCCGAGGTTTTCCCGTTCCTCGGGTCAGGAAGCGGATTACCTCTGCCCATCCCTAGGGTGAAACCGCGGGGGTTCTGCATCCTCTCCTCAGGCGCGTGTTCGATGGGATCACCCGCATTTCTCAACCAGACATTGAGAGGCGAGAGGCACCGCCGGGGTCAGGCGACGGCTGAGCTCTCTTGCAGATAAGCCCCGCATCGCATCATCGCTGATGTCATTTTAAAGCACCGGCAGTGAGTCAGGGTGGGGACGCGGGCAGGGCGGCCGCTCCCGACACAAAGTCTGAGCGGCTTCGGGGCAACTTCGCTACGAAGGGACAGGGGAGGGAAGTCCATGCAAGGCAGACGTTACCTTCTGTCAGCAACGCTCAGCTTTATGATGAATGATCGCAGGAAACAAAAATAAACAGAAACCCAGCTCAGCAACACCAACCACAGCCGAGACCGAGACGCCCGAAGACCAGGGGAAGCTTCAAACCCCAAAAAACACCGTCCGGGCTTTGACACCGACGGTTCCAAGGTGGTTGAAGACCACCAGAAGCGTCTGCACCTCCTACGCCGGCCCGAGGGACGGGGTTGCCGGGGTTTACTGTGTACCCAGGTGAGACAGCAAGAGTCTGGCCTGGTGGGAGAGGACCTTTTCTCAGCTGTGCCAAGCCCTGCCATCCCATCGCAGAAGCGTTTCAGGTCGTGGTGGTGGGAACAGGAGGAGATGAGCGCGCCCAGCCGTGCCTCTCTCCACCTTTTCAACATCCAGGGGGTGCTTTACGGCCACCGGCTAATCACTTGCAACACATCTTCCGCCATACGGCCGATGCGGAGGCGATGGCCGGGCCGTT